AAAAAAAGATTAAGTATAACCTAAAAATATTTTTAAAAAAAATACTATTGTAGGTATTACATGACTTTTTTAACTCGTTTGTTAAACTTTATGTAGCACTTCCTTTATGGAAATAGTCAAGGTGAGTCAAGGTCATTGTTTAATGTTCTTGTGTTTTTTCTGTTATTTTATATGTGTTAATGTCCGTTCATACTTTTATAATTGTTTTTATTACAACTGACTCCTTGACAATTCCATTTAGGTGTGCCTGATGATGAAGTAATAGCTTCGAAACCGGTCGCCAATTAAAATTGACTTGTGAGAAATAAAGGACCTTTTCTTAACCCCTTATACTTAATCCCTACTACTCACATATGGCTACCCTCACTCCAAATAAAAAAAAAGAAGTACATTTGTGTATCTATTAATTTTTTTAAATAGATGTATTTTTTATTGATTTTTTTTAATGAGTTAGCAATCTAAGAACGTTTTTCTATTTTTATAAATTTTTTATTTCGGTGACCTACTAATTTCAAATTTGATTAGAATGTTAATATACTCTGATATTAAAATAACTTCCTTTAAACAGTTGTTTTTACATTAACCTTCAAATTATTTTATTAATAACATTTTGGATCATTATCGATTTTTTTTTTATTTCACTGCTTTACAATTTTGACCTTCAATTTTTAAGAAAAAAATCTAATCAGGGGAAGGTCTCGTACCTTGAGCCGTTCGGTACCTCGAGCCATTCGAATAGCATAACAACGGTTATGCGCAAAAAATCGCCTAACATTTGTCATAATTAATTGGTTGCCATTCGGAAACAAATAGTGGTGAAAAGTGCACGGTGTCTCAATAATGAGGAAAAAGTATTTTTTATTTTGTATTACGTGTTATTTTAGCTTTTTTATGGATCTTATTATTGAATCGCTACTTGTGTTAGATAGTTATCTGTTTTGTACATAATCTGTGTCATTTTTATAACGTTTTTATCAGCGGTATAGGTTATGTGAATTTACTTAGTTGTTAGTGTTAGGCTGCGTACCTTGGACCGCGGAGCAGTCTCGTACCTTGGGCCGGCTCAAGGTACGGTAACAGCATTGTACCCTGAACCGCCAAAGTCGATATAGGTATTTTTTTTATTATGGTGCGCTTTTTTTCAAGTCTACAAAAAGCGATACCTATTGTTGCAGATGTCACGTAGTAAAGAAGGGAAGAAACGAACTAAGCCTTTGCTGGAGAACTTACAGAAAGCCAGAAATGCTGTCTTAAATGGCGTTTCTCAACGTTCTGCTGCCGAACAATTCAGGGTGTCAACGGCTACTCTTAAGCGTTACATGAGCCAAGAAGCTAATGAAGAAGGGAGTTACCAGTCTTACGAAAAATGTACAGTTAAGAAGATTTTTGAACGCCATGAGGAAGATGATTTATGCAAATATCTTGTTACTGCATCAAAGATGCTTTATGGCTTACATATACATCAGCTAAGAACATTAGCATATCAGTTTGCATCTGCAAACCACAAAGTATTACCAGCATCATGGAAAGAAAATAAAAGAGCAGGAAAGCATTGGTTTAGGAATTTAATGAGAAGGCATCCCAATTTAAGTTTACGCAAACCCGAAGCTACTAGCTTATCTAGAGCCACTAGTTTTAACAGACACAATGTCAACATTTTTTTTTTCTAAACTAAAAAGTGTGCTGGAAAAATATAAATTCGATGCGAGTAGCATCTACAATATGGATGAAACATCCAACAGCACCGTCCATAATCCAGAGAAAGTTATAGCAGTCAAAGGCGAAAAGCAAGTGGGAAGAGCGACATCAGGCGAGAGGGGTCAAAATGTCACTATGATCGCATGTATAAATGCTATTGGGAACATTGTCCCTCCAATGTTCATATTTCCTCGTGTGAACTTCAAGGAAAACATAATGATGCATGGTGCTCCACCAGGCGCTGTAGGGGCCGCTGTTCCAAGAGGATGGTCTAATTCAGAGGAGTTTGTTAACTGGATGAAACATTTTATACGCCATGTTAACTGCACTAAAGAAAATAAAAAATTGCTTATATTGGACAACCATGACAGCCACATCTCGGTTGAAGCTGTGTCACTAGCAAAATCTAACGGAATCTTCTTGCTCACTTTACCACCGAATACGAGCCACAAAATGCAGCCGTTAGACAGATGTGTTTTTGGACCCTATAAGAAAAACTATAATACAGCTGCCAATGAGTGGATGTTATCTCATCGATCTACTCCGATTACCATTTATAATGTGGCAGAATTGGCTGGAAAAGCATATACCTTAGCATTCAGCCCCTCAAACATTCAAGCTGGATTTAGAGTTACAGGAATTTGGCCTGTCAACGAGAATATATTTGGAGATGATGAATTTTTAGGCTCAGCAATTAAAGACAGGAAGAACCCGGAAATCAAACAGCTGGCAGCAAAGCAAAGTGCTTCTGAAAAAGAAGTAAGGGGCGCCGACATATCAGCACCCCCTGATAAACCTTCGACTTCTGCCTACAAATCGCCACATGAAATTCGACCCTTCCCTAAAGCGGCTCCTAGGAAAAATCAAAGAAATCGAAAAAAAGCAACAAGTCGCATTCTGACTGACACACCAGAAAAAGAAGAACTTGAGCGAATTTATTCAGAAAAGATGGCAACAGAAGCAAAGCGTATAAAGAAACAAGCTGTGAAGACTCTAAAAAGAAAGGTGTTGCAAAATGAATACTCATCAGATTCAGATATATCAGAATACTCATCTCAGTCAAGCTCAGACTTGGATTTGACCCTCGACGACTTCTGTAAATCTCCACAAGCCTCGGAATGAACTGGATAGTGGAGAGATAGCGGTAAATAAATATTGTTTGACCAGACTTGCAGGAAAAAAGAAAATGCATTACTATGTAGCGGAAATTGTCGAAATCGAAGATCAAGACAACATAAAGGTCAAATACCTGAAAAGATTTAAAACCACCTACAAGTTCGTCAAAGAAAAAGACGAAGTATATGATATCTCAAAAGGTGATCTTGAGTGCAGTTGATTTTCAGAAAGACAGAAAAACATGTTCACTTTTGGCATAAACTTTTCAACCTACGATGTAGAATAATTTTTGTTAATTTGATTCCAAAAAATGTATTTGTTATCTTTCATGAATTGTATGTTTCTGTTCTGGCATCAGCTTTGTTACTGATATTTTAATTTAATGAGTTCAGTATTTTCGGTTTTCTTTTTTTATTTACCATAAAAGAGGTACTTATACCCTACTTTCCACGTTATTGACAATTAGTACAACTACATTTTAGAACTGGACCAAGGCACATATCCTAGTGGACAAATAAAAAAAACCAATCTACAAATTATTGGCAATTTGAATATACAATTTTTGTATTATTTAAAACCTCCAACCCCTGAGATAAAAGTAGAATTATTAATCTAACAACGTAGGCGGACCAAACTAGTCAACGGCCGGCGGGCCGCCAAAACGACACTGGCGGGCCGCATCCGGCCAGCGCGCCTTATGTTGCGCACCCCGGATTTAGATGATCTTGATTTTTATGTGAGATTTAGATTAAAAAAAAAGACACTGTAATAATGATTTTAGAATTAATTGAAGATCAAATTGAAACACTCACAGAGAGGTAAATTTGTTTTTAAAAAACCAATTAAAATACAAATCAAATTTATTTTAGAATGTCTATTTCTGTTTGTTTTTCTAGGAATCATTCCGTAACACCCATAAACCAATTGTTGGCTTTAAGATTTTATGCAACTGGGAATTTCTTATTAACTACAGGAGATTATCTGAATGTCAGCAAATCAACTTCATGCAAAATAATAAAAAAAAAGTTACACGAACAATAGCTTCTTTATACCAACAATTTATTAAGATGTCCTCTACTGAAAATGAAATAGCTATCAATCATTCTAAATTCTTTAATAATTCGACGCCCCACGTCGTCAGAATCTAAACATTTCTCAAGGGGGTCAAACCGACGGCACAGGACTAAAATATACAGCGTTTTCGCCCCGAAGGGCAGAAAACGGCTTATTTTAGGCCTTGCCAAAGGCTTGACCCCCGGTGTAAGTACTTGACGACTTACCAAAGGTACTGAATAAACCCCCGACTCGGTGATAGTTGCCTGCGAGTATGTCTAACGGAACAGCACTAGCCGAGATCGGGCGCTGACGTAGACGTGAGGAAGCAAGAGGGGGAGTCTGGGAGCCTTGCATCGGAGTAAATACAGGGGCGTAATCTCAAGGGGGTCAAGCCTTTGGCAAGGCCTAAAATAAGCCGTTTTCTGCCTTTCGGGAGAAAACGCTGTATATTATTGAATTTAGGGGTCTTATAGTTACTCAGAACTGGCGTTTTCTATCCGTTTTGACAAATAATAGTCTTCATTGACTCAGAATAACACCAGTTTATTCAGAATAGTCCTCGAGCCATCAACGACGGCTCGTTCAAGACAGCCGTCGGCTCGTTCGAGCCAGCCGTCGGCTCCAGAGTTTCAGCCGTCGGCTCCAGAGTTTCAGCCGTCGGCTCCAGAGTTTCAGCCGTCGGCTCGAAAGCTAGTGGACGTCGGTTTAAATTATTTTGAGCCTTCGTGCCAAATTTTGGACCGTCGCCGTCTTGAATTTATTCTAAAGTTTGCGGTTTGCGGCTACTATTCCTAACCTTCAGCCGTCGACCGGAATGTTGGGTTATGCATAATAACACGATTTTAATTTTCCCTAAGGCTGAGTTCATCCCATCTCATGTTGTGCCCTCTTTCCAGATGGTATCACAAACAAGTATACTATCCACCGACCCGTGATTCTAACTTCAGACACAAAAAAAAGGAATCTCCTATTATTCAAAATTAACTCGACCAATCGTCAACGTAGGCGAAAAGGAACTCCTTATGATAATACTACTCTTACCAGGATAAAAGAATTGTCATCTACCCACCTACCAGATGGGTGGAAACAATGGAAGGTTGCTTAGCTCCGATATGGATCTACAGATCCTGAACAAGATTAGATTTGCCCTACCAACAGTAGGCTTGGCGAAAGCTTTTAATCCGCAAGCGACATCTCTCTCAGGGAAAAATACAGAGAAATAAAAGTAGAGATGTTAGACTGGCCTTTCTGTGTAGGCCTTATTATTCGTCCGTCATTCAAAACTGGATGGCAAGTCATCTTCGGGACAAAGAAATAAGAATAATAGTTTATATGGACGTCTTCCTGATAGCTCACCAAAATCGGAAACTTCTGGAAGCGCAAACCCAGATCTCAATTTCGTTCCTAGAGGACTTAGAATGGGTAATCAACTACGAGAAACCTTCACTGGTTTCAAAGACAAGATGCGAGTTTCTGGGCTTAGTTTGGGATACACTGGAAGATCGGGTGTCCTTACCGTCCCGCAAGAAAAAATCCCTAGAAAATCATCTCTCGAAATTACTAACTCTAAAGAGGTATGATTGGATAACTGCCATAGAATTTTAGGAAAATTAAATTTTGCGGCATTCGCAGTAGCACTCGGCAGGCTTCACTCCAGAATAGTGCAACGAACCAGCCATTGTCTTCCAGAATGGAAACAGACAAAGCAGCTGCCTATCCCATATTCAGCGATAAAGGAATTGCAGTGGTGGCTGGCAAATCTAAAAAGCGCTTCGCCGATATTTCCGAAGAATCCAGATATCTTCGTAACCACAGATGAATCAGATTACTTTTGGAGGGGCTCAAGTAGGAGATCAACTACTAAAGGGCTCTTGGAACAAAAGCCAGCTGAGATGGCACATAAATGCGAAGGAGCTTTTTGCCGTCGATGTAGCAATTCGATCTTGCAGCAACGCCTTAACAGGAAATACAATTGTCATTTAATCGGACAATCGCACTGTGGTCTCATATATATGGAATCAGGGGGGAACGAAATCTCCATTACTGACGAGGATTGTTGGTCTTCTTCTGCGTTTCGCCATGATAAACACAATAACTGTAGTGGCATACTTTATTCCTGGGGTCGTCAACGACATAGCAGACAGTTTATCCAGGAGATCGACCCTAGCGGACTGGACTCTTTCTCAACCAATGATTCAGAAGATTTGAAAGAGATGCGACAAACCCCAGATAGATCTTTTCGCATCAACTGCTTCAAAGGTAGTCGAACCTTATGTATCAAGGAATGTAAAAGACCTCGCTTTCATAGACGCCTTCAGCAGAGTTTGGAACTTCCAGCTGGCGTGGGTCTTCCCTCCACCAGCTTTAATTCCGAAAGTGCTCAGTCACCTAAACTCAGCTTGCGGGACTTACATTCTAATAGTACCCAGATGGGAGAAAGCTTTCTGGAGAGCGGACCTGAAGATGAGAGCCGTATTCCCTCCGTTTCAGATTCGAAACTTGCAACATCACCTTCTGGATGCACAGACAGGGAAACCGTTACCACATGCTCAAAAAATCAATTTGGAGGCCTGGAAGGTAAGGGGTGGGCCACTGCCATTGAAGATTGGCATGAGGAAGACAAAAGACTCCTAGAAAAATATTGGAGGAAATCTACCCTGAAGACTTATGCGGCTCCATGGAAGCAGTGGCTCGCTTGGTGCTACAGTTTGAAGCAAAATCCTGCTAGGCCAACTCCAAGTATATTAGCTCAGTATCTTTCCTTTCTTCATAGAACAAGAAAATTGTCCTCGGCTACGATTAAACTGCATAAGTCTGTTGTAGCAACTTTAGCAGACCCTTATAATGGCCTTCAATTATCGAACAATGCGCTTATAAAACACATGATTAAGGAAAGAGAAACAAAAAAAAACAATTTCTAAAAGACCGATCATTTGGAATGTCAGTATCTTAATTTGTTGGATTAGGAGCAAAATGATCAACGAATGCAGTATATTTCAAGAATCCCGTAGGCTAGCCCTTATATTATTGTTGGCTTCAGGGCGTCTCATTCACGATCTTACATTGCTTAAAATAGATGACAACCATATTCAGACAGAAGATGATTCGATTACTTTTTGGCCACAATTTGGATCTAAGACTGATAAATCGACGTATAGACAATCCGGTTGGAAGCTTTTAAGAAATAAAGAAAAGGCCCTTGACCCTGTTTTCTGGACTCTTAAGTTGTTAGATATCTCTAAAATCGGCGAAAAGCCATAACAGATTTACACAATCTATTACCTCAAGGGTACCGGTCAAACCGGCTTCTAGAGCTATAATAGCCGGTTGGGCGAGAACAGGTTTCGAAGCAGCTGGAATAGTCTTCACCTGGTAGCATTAGATCTGCGGTGGCCTCGGCTAGATGGGAATGTAATATGTCTTTAGAATGTCTTGGAATGTGGGAACTTGAAGGGTGCAACAAATTTTTTTAAGCACTATTTTAAAGAAGTAGGGAGATGTAATGATATTAATAGAAAATGTATTATAAGTGATTCCTTTGTTCCTGTTTAATAAGACTTGTTTGTTACTTTCTGTTTTCGTTCTTAATTTTGTCGTTATTATATTGTTCGTTTATATATGTTCCTTGTTTTCCAATAAAGCAATTTACTGCGTTTGAACTTTTAATCACAGTACGCTATCACGTTGTCAGAGTCCAAACACTTCTCAAAAAGGTCAAACCGACGGCACATACCCTAAAATATACGTTTTTTACCCGAAGGGCAAAAAACGATTTATTCTAGATCTTGCCTAGGCTTGACCCAGTCAAGTTCTTGACGACTTAACACGAGAAGGTACTGAGGAATAGAGCCGTGCTCCGCCGACGCTGTGGGGGGAGGAGCGAATATGGCTGGCGAGCGGAGGAAGAGGGGATAAAAAGGAGGAGAAGTAAGTAAAAGAGGCACTTGTACATGGGCGGGGTGATGGGGTAATCTCAAAAGGATTAAGCCGACGGCACAGACCTAAAATAAATCGTTTGTTGCCCTTCGAAAGAAAAACGTTGTATATTTGTAACGGTTACTCTTCTAGTACCGTTATTTTTTAATATTTTATAACTATATTTTTAAAATGATTGTCCCATCTATTAGGACCGATAGTTTCATTCTTTCGCTACAAATATGTTATATAGTTATTTTTTGTTTTTTATAAGTTGTATGTTCGGATCGAAAGTTAATTTCGACAGGTATTACTTGAAAAAGTCTTTACAATAATACCTCAGAACGAGGCAGTCGAGATTATTAAATCTGCTAATATTTAAGCAATCTTAAACAGTATGTGGTATTTTTATTAGTGGTGAGAACCATCAGTATTTCATAGTGAGTAGAAGATTAATATTTACAAGATTTCTGCAAAGATTAACGAAATGGATCGAGATTTATTTAGTTGTTAAAAATGTGAGGTTAGATGTTTCAGAACGTGTCATTAATTTCTGTTTTTTATTCATTATGTGTTCAGAAATATCTTACCTCCTTGTTCCTTATTTTTCCTTATTACGTAAACTTCAAAAAGGTCTCAATCTTTTAGATAAGTCAATCTTTGGATGGTTTTTTTTACAACTACGCTGAGAACATAGTTTAAAATATTTTTTTTTAAACAAACGCTGAGAAGACAGTTGAAAATATGTTAATTAATGGTTAGAAGACAGTTGAAGTTATGGTTAGAAGACAGTTGAAGTTATGGTTAGAAACATGGTAATTTATATTTAGAAGAAGACGCATCGCTGTAGGAGACCGTCCTTATTTGAAAAGATTGAAGACCTACACCATTCCTACTTTGAGATAAGTTTCATTTTTATCTTTAAAAATTAAATAAAGAAATAATTTAAATGAATCATGGCTTGTGTAGATTGTAATTGTTACTTGCCTGCATAAACATATACATTCTGTTTTAACATCAGTCATATTAATTATATTTGCCAAACTATTATAATTCACCTTAAATGATATGTTTATGTAAGTTTGGTGGCGCCCTCCATACCTTTCCTATAGTTAAGTTTTGTCAAGGTTATTAAGTGCTACTCACGGCCCTAATTAAAATTGAGCTAAAACACGGTAAGTAAAACCAACATCACTTGTTACATATTATATTGCTAACGCGGCTCGACTTTGCTACTGTATGCGACAAAAATTTTCTATCTCTTCCATTCTTAAGAAGAGAATACGGTTCGCACAACTTGCAAGCACAAGGCTTGAAACTAGTAGTAGGGCGAAGGGCGATCAGATGATCAGATATATACTGAATGGTCAGCCGGCACTAGGCAGTCAATCGCTTTAATTACTCAACGGTGTACCTATACGTTTATTTACAAGTTTTATAAAGAAAGAACGTACGCATGAAGAAGCGCTTTGTATTATTTGTAATTGTTTCACATCAGTTACCCACGGAAGTAAAGCTGGTGTATCAACATCATCGCCCATGTACGGATTTATGATTAAAGAAGATACCCAAGAAGAATTTCTTATTACGGCATCGGAACTAACGACACCTTATATATAAAGTTGTTAAACATATCTGTTGACTTGACTACATCGTAAAACCACGATGTATCTCGATGTATTCCGATTCTAAAATCGCAGCAATAATATACAAATTTAACATTTAGGTACCAAAGGGATTATGTATATAATAAATGATTAAGGGTAAGTCTATGGTTATTTACAGAGATAAAGTTCCTATCTAGAATGTTTTTTTCCCAAATAAATATTTATTGCCTAACAAACCATTATTATTACCTGTATCTTTTTCTATTATGTAATAAATAATTTTTAAAGATTTTCTTTGTATAATATAATTTGATTTTTCATTTTAGTTGGAACTTTCCCAAAAATCATGCTCCTCATCTTCCTTGATAGTGAAGTCAGAAACTCCCAGAAAAATAGAAAATAGTGCAGATACAATTGAAATGGAGCACAGTTACCTTCCACCAATCGCAAAAACCGGATGCAAGGTTCTAAAAGAAAAATATCCGATATTCCAAACAACCACAATTTTATTGGAATGTATCAAGAATCCAGTAAAGCAATCAAGAGCATTAGAAATACAATTAATGAAAATTTTAATAGATTGAATGAAACTATCGATGATATATTTAGTGATATTGTGAACTATTAAGAACCAAGACAACAAAAAATACATGGACTAAAAACTTTTGTTTATATTTTTGATTATTACTAATTATATTTTTATCTTTTGTTTTATTTTAACCACATTCTGAAGAGTAAAATCTAAAAAAAGTTTTTTTCTAATATTACAGATGATAACCAAATAACAGCATATAGTAATTTATTCAGGAAATGCATTTTTTTATACAGTTTATCAATAACAAGAATACCAAGAAAATAAACTTGAAAAAATTGCAAATTTTACAAATATTTAAAGAAAAAAATACATAAGACTATTTACACAGTTTAAAATATATAAATATAAAGATGTCATGCATTCAAAAATGGGATTAAATATTTGAAGGTACAAAATATTGTATGTACTAGAAAATTAACAAAGCATTAAAGTATATATTTACAATATTATTTCACCAAAATTGTGCAGATTATTATTATTATTTATTATCATGAACAATCATATTATTTGGAGCAACTTCTGGTAAATAATGCTCATCTTC